TAGTACTAGTAGTAGTAGTAGTACTAGTAGTAGTAGTACTAGTAATAGTAGTAATACTAGTACTAGTAGTAGTAGTAGTACTTGTAGTAGTAGTAGTACTACTAGTAGTACTAGTAGTAGTAGTATTGGTGGTAGTAGTAGTAGTACTAGTGGTAGTAGTACTAGTATTAGTATTAGTACTAGTAGTATCAGTAGTAGTATCAGTACAAGTACTATTAGTAGTAGTACTAGTAGAAGTACTGGTAGTAGTAGTAGTAGTAATATTAGTAGTAGTATTATTAGTAGTAGTTGTAGTATTAGTAGTTGTACTAGTATTAGTAGTAGTACTAGAAGTAGTAGTAGTATTACTAATAGTAATAGTAGTAGTACTAATAATAGTAGTAGTACTAGTGGTATTAGTAGTACTATTAGTAATAGTAGTAGTAATAGTACTATTAGTACTAGTACTAGTAGTAGTAGTAGTTCTAGTAGTAGTTGTAGTAGTAGTAGTAGTACTAGTATTAATTTTAGTACTAGAAGTAGTAGTAGTACTAGTGGTATTAGTAGTACTAGTAGAAAAGTAGTAGTAGTAATACTAGTAGTACTAGTACTAGTAGTAGTAGTAGTACTAATAGTAGTAGCAGTGGTAGTAGTAATATTACTAGTATTATTAGTAGTAGCACTAGTAGTAGTAGTAGTACTAGTAGTAGCAATAGTAGTAATAGTATCAGTGCTAGTAGTAGTATAGTAGTACTAGTAGTAGTATTAGTAGTACTAGTAGTAGCAGTAGTAGTAGTAGTATCAGTACTAGTAGTATTAGTAGTAGTACTAGTAGTAGTACTGGTAGTAGTAGTAGTAATATTAGTAGTAGTATTTTTAGTAATAGTTGTAGTAGTAGTTGTACTAATAATAATAGTCGTACTAGAAGTAGTAGTAGTATTACTAGTAGTAGTAGTATTAGTACTAGTAGTAGTAGTAGTACTAGTGGTATTACTAGTACTATTAGTAATAGTAGTAGTATTAGTACTAGTAGTACTAGTACTAGTAGTAGTAGTACTAGTAGTAGTTGTAGTAGTAGTAGTAGTACTAGTATTAATTGTAGTACTAGAAGTAGTAGTAGTATTACTAATTTTATTGGTAGTAGTAGTACTAGTGTTAGTAGTAGTACTAGTAGAAAAGTAGTAGTAGTAATACTAGTAGTACTAGTACTAGTAGTAGTAGTAGTACTAATAGTAGTAGTAGTGGTAGTAGTAATATTACTAGTATTAGTAGTAGTAGCACTAGTAGTAGTAGTACTAGTAGTAGTACTGGTAGTATTAGTAATAATATTAGTACTAGTATTAGTAGTAGTACTAGTGGAAGAAGTTCTAGTAGTAGTAGTACTAATTGTCGTAGTAGTATTAGTAGTAGTACTAGTAGTAGTAGTAGGAGGAGTACTAGTAGTAGTAGTAGTATTATTAGTAGTATTATTAGTACTAATATTACGAGTACTAGTAATAATAGTAGTGTTAGTAATTCTAGTAATAATATTAGTACTATTAGTAGTAGTATTAGTATTGGTAGGAATAGTAGTATTAGTAATAGGAGTAGTAGTAGTACTAGCAGTAGTACTAGTAGTAGTATTAGTAGTAGTACTAGTAGTAGTAGTACTAGTAATAGTATTACTAGTAGTAGTAGTACTAGTAGTAGTAGTGGTAGTAGTAGTAGTTTTAGTAGTAGTATTAGTAGTACTAGTAGTAGTATTAGTAGTACTAATAGTAGCAGTAGTAGTAGTAGTATCAGTATTAGTAGTATTAGTAGTAGTACTAGTAGTAGTACTGGTAGTAGTAGTACTAATATTAGTAGTAGTATTATTAGTAATAGTTGTAGTAGTAGTTGTACTAATAATAATAGTCGTACTAGAAGTAGTAGTAGTATTACTAGTACTAGTAGTAGTAGTACTAGTAGTAGTTGTAGTAGTAGTAGTAGTACTAGTATTAATTGTAGTACTAGAAGTAGTAGTAGTATTACTAATAGTATTAGTAGTAGTAGTACTAGTGGTAGTAGTAGTACTAGTAGAAAAGTAGTAGTAGTAATACTAGTAGTACTAGTACTAGTAGTAGTAGTAGTACTAATAGTAGTAGTAGTGGTAGTAGTAATATTACTAGTATTAGTAGTAGTAGCACTAGTAGTAGTAGTAGTACTATTAGTAGCAATAGTAGTAATAGTATCAGTGCTAGTAGTAGTAGTAATACTATTAGTAGTACTGGTAGTATTAGTAATAATATTAGTACTAGTATTAGTAGTAGTACTAGTGGAAGAAGTTCTAGTAGTAGTAGTACTAATTGTCGTAGTAGTATTAGTAGTAGTACTAGTAGTAGTAGTAGTATTATTAGTAGTATTATTAGTACTATTATTAGGAGTACTAGTAATAATAGTAGTGTTAGTAATTCTAGTAATAATATTAGTATTATTAGTAGTAGTATTAGTATTGGTAGGAATAGTAGTATTAGTAATATTAGTAGTAGCAGTATTAGTAGTAGTACTAGTAGTAGTATTAGTAGTAGTAATAGTAGTAGTAGTACTAGTAGTAGTATTACTAGTAGTAGTAGTACTAGTAGTAGTAGTGGTAGTAGTAGTAGTACTAGTAGTATTAGTGTTAGTAGTATTGGTACTATTAGTAATAGTAGTAGTACTACTAGTATTATTAGTACGGGTAGTAGTAGTATTACAAAGAGTATTAGTAGTAGTACAAGTAGTAGTAATAGTATTATTAATGTTAATAGTAGCACTGGTAGTACTGGTAATATTACTAGTAGTAGTCGTAGTAACAGTAGTGGTACTAGTAGTAGTAGTAGTACTAGTAGTATTAGTAATACTAGTAGTAGAGTAGTAGTATTAGTAATAGTAGTACTAGTATTAGTAATAGTACTATTAGTAGTAGTAGTATTAGTAGTAGCAGTATTATTAATACTAGTAGTAGTAGTATTAGTAGTAGTAATATTAATTATAATAATATTAGTACTAGTAATAATAGTAGAAGTAATAGTATTAGTTGTAGTACTAGTAGTATTAGTAGTACTAGTAGTAGTAGTACTAGTATTAGTAGTGGCACTAGTAGTATTAGTATTAGTACTACTAGTAGTAATAGTAGTAATATTAATAGTACTAGTAGTAGTACTAGTAGTAGTACTAGTGGTAGTACTAGTAGTACTAGTAGTAGTAGTACTAGTAGTAGTACTGGTAGTAGTAGTATTAATAGTACTCGTAATAGTATTAGTACTAGTGGAAGTAGTACTAGTAGTATTAGTACTAATAGTCGTAGTAGTATTAGTAGTAGTACTAGTAGTAGTAGTATTGGTGGTAGTAGTATTAGTACTAGTGGTAGTAGTACTAGTATTAGTATTAGTACTAGTAGTATCAGTAGTAGTATCAGTACAGGTACTATTAGTAGTAGTACTAGTAGAAGTACTGGTAGTAGTAGTAGTAGTAATATTAGTAGTAGTGTTATTAGTAGTAGTTGTAGTATTAGTAGTTGTACTAGTATTAGTAGTAGTACTAGAAGTAGTAGTAATATTACTAGTAGTAGTAGTAGTAGTACTAGTAATAGTAGTAGTACTAGTGGTATTAGTATTACTATTAGTAATAGTAGTAGTAATAGTACTATTAGTACTAGTACTAGTAGTAGTAGTAGTACTAGTATTAGTTGTAGTAGTAGTAGTACTAGTATTAATTGTAGTACTAGAAGTAGTAGTAGTAGTAGTGGTATTAGTAGTACTAGTAGAAAAGTAGTAGTAGAAATACTAGTAGTACTAGTACTAGTAGTAGTAGTAGTACTAATAGTAGTAGTAGTGGTAGTAGTAATATTACTAGTATTATGAGTAGTAGCACTAGTAGTAGTAGTAGTAGTACTAGTAGTAGCAATAGTAGTTATAGTATCAGTGCTAGTAGTAGTAGTAGTACTAGTAG